AGGGCGCTGCTGTAGTGGCTGGTAGAGGTGCGTCTGGCTAGCAAAGAACTCTTCCCCGGACGGGGGTCAGGGGTTCGGGGGGCATGCGCTGTCCCTGGCCTCCCTGAGGAAGGACTCCTGCTGCGTTCCCGGGTGGGGCGACCCAGGCCAGCCCCCTCCTCTTTCACATCCGGCTCTTTGCCCCGCCACAGGCCACAATTCGGATGGGAAGTTCATTGCCCGTGCGCAGAGGATAGAGTTTGACTGCGAGCTGGTGCCGACGGGGGTCAGGGGTTCGGGGGGCATGCGCTGTCCCTGGCCTCCCTGAGGAAGGACTCCTGCTGCGTTCCCGGGTGGGGCGACCCAGGCCAGCCCCCTCCTCTTTCACATCCGGCTCTTTGCCCCGCCACAGGCCACAATTCGGATGGGAAGTTCATTGCCCGTGCGCAGAGGATAGAGTTTGACTGCGAGCTGGTGCCCCGGCGCGTTGCCATCTTCATCGAAAAGACGAAAGATGGACAGATCCTTCCGGTCCCTAACGTGGTGGTGCGAGACGTGGCCTGCGGCGCTAACCATACGGTAATGCTGGGATCCCCCTGGCAGCCGGAGGCTCCGTGTGCCACCGCCTGGGTTGCCAGGTGTCCAGTATTCAACTGGACAGTCTGGTTTTGGGACCCTCTGTCGGGTCAAAACACCAGTATTTTCAATGTGCAGTGTCCGGTATTTTCTGGTGTTCCGGCTGGACGCCCGATCGAAGCCCGGCAGGGGCGGGGGAGTGGCTGGGAGGTGGGGCGCGATCAGCGCTGGGAGCCTCTGGTTGCATCTGACATAGGAGTGACGCCTTGGGGAGGAGGAGAAGCCCCGTCCGTGCCCCTGAGCACTGGTCAAGCGCATTGTGGAGCCGAAGCCGGACTTGCTCATGCTTTGCCGGGACCGTGTGTGGGACAGGCAGCGCCCTGGGATCTGCATGCGCCCGGGTCAGTCCCGCTCCCCGCTGGCTTATTCTTTCCCCTCCGTTCCCCCTCCCCGGCCAGCCCCGCTCACCCCAACCCCTCCCGATCAGCCCTGCTTCCTGATGTAAAAAATAAAGGACACGTGTGGTCAAAAATAGAAACTCTCTTTATTTAACAAAACTGCGGG